CGACAAGAAAACATTTGTGGTAGTTAATCTACCTTTACGCTTAAGTAGTCTAAGTAATTAATACCTTTGATAACTTTAAAATGTGTAAAATTCGGTCTCTCAAGGCGATATTAACGCCGTAGTATAAATAAACGCGTAGGTAATTTCTAAGTATCGTTAAGACATTTAGGAAAGTTAGGTATGCCTCGTGAAAACAGCAATACTCTGAGGGATTGTGAGGCTGATACATTGCCTATATATAATCCTCTCAGTACTGTTTCCGCCGAAGGGATTTTATTTAGTGTTTCGTTGTCGCTTTATTAAAAACTATGGCATGTTTCACTGGGGCGAATCCGAGAGACTCATAAAATCCTATCTTTAGAAAAAATAAATAACATAATAAAAATACTCTTGATGTGCTTAGTTATTGTCTTAACCAATAACTTGCCACTATCAAGAATTACCGACTTAGCCTTCATCAGACTGGCACATCTGGTTGGCTGATCGGAGGATCAACTAGGTAACGTTAATAGTTCCTAGAAACCTATATTCGGTTGAGCCATCTCGCTACCGAAGTATTCAGATGTAGATAAAGTTGGAAAGTAAATATAGTTCTATTAATAGAACTAGACCAACTCTTATGTTTGGTATTTTACTGAGGTCTTTTAATGGTCTCGCCCAAATATCTGATATGTAAAATGGAAAAGGTATTAATTAATAAAACCATTAAACCCATTTTAGGAAACTTAAGTTCCTCGTGCTATTAAGAGTACATTTAGGAAACTTGAGTTCCTCGTACTATTAAGAGTACGTTTATAATTTACGTACTGCATAAGAGTATGTTTATAACATAGAGTCTAATGTGGAGGCCCGGCTTATTACATATACGGAGTGACGACGAAGTCAGGGATGCTTGGTCCTAAAAACATTGGCAACTTTGCGATGTATGTCACCTATGAGAATGTTTTGCCCTTGTTATGATGTTTATTCAAGACGCCTTCATCTCCAGTTTTGATCGATCTAATCACGATGAAGCCCGTCGCCTTCTTGTCTTTTGGACAACGATATACTCTGGATCGGGTCAGTATCATTCTCTTGCATCAATCGAATCTCGAATGAAGCACTCCTAAAACCCCCACGACTCCTGCTATTCGGCGTCATCTGCTACTCTCCTGGAACAATTTCAATCTGAACTTGTTCTACTCGTCCTCGACTCACAACGGAAGAGTATATAGAGGAGCCGCATATTTGCATGTCCGGCAAATATTACCCTACTGCTCTCACTCAACAGGTTTGCCCCAAGAGCAGTGCGTAAACATGCTTTTTTCATTTGCCGAGACCACGACTCACAAGGCCCCTTCATGCCCCACGGCATGCGGCCGATATGACAGCAAAAGACACATCAGCGCCGACTGCGACGCAGGTTCTGGTTCCTGTATGGAATGTAATACGTTGCTACTGTATGCTTCCAGTGGTCTAATAAACAGAGTTTCGCATGTTCAGAGTTCGTTGCTCGTGTAACTGTTTTTCTTTTCTTTAATAAGTCCGAACAGACTTCACTTATTATTGGTACTGGTGCCTCCGCCAGTCTCGGTTTACTTCTTTACTCACTAAAATCGAACATGGCAAATTTTTACTTCTCCCGCGGATAATACAAAGAATATTTCTAGACGACGTGGACTGCTCCCTAATCTCGGCCTCAGCTATGTTTGTACCGGTCTCTTCGAATCGATTATTGCCCAGAACAGCTTGCAGGACAATGGCTGTACTCTATGTGACCCAGCGTGGACCCGTACACTTCACTTTTTGCATACAGGCACACGCCGCACTATCACCCGTGACAGAAATAATTATTAAACTACTTTGCATGACCTCACGTACCTTTGCGCTACACCTACTACGGTCTAGTGTGCCACTACGCTTTCCACTACTCCACCTCCTACTCATCACCCCGTCACTGCTTCTACCAATAATACGAATACCATCGCAATAACGCACATGGAATCCGAGCTACTACCCTCAAACAAGCTCGAAAGAAAAATGTCACGCTCGCCCACCGCGCCTTGGCGTTGCTACTGAGATATACTATCAACTCCATCCTACACTCTGGATGGGGGCCATGACATAATAGACCACACGCCTACCATTGATTTTTATGCTTATAAAAACAATGTACAGCTTGCTTGCTTTCTTGGCTCTGACCAGTGGAGTTTTAGATAACTTTCGTAAAGTGTAAAGTCAACTTTTTTACATGCAAACCTCAAATGGTCAAACATCGCGACCATTGCCCGTCAAAACATACAGCGCTGATCTTGGCTACCCCGTTCCCCTTCAACCGTGCAGCCGCTGGTGGTCTCTCATCCTCTCCCGTTTACAGTGTTAGCCATTCATTATCCGCAACATATCTCTCACATTACTCCAACATGGACTTTGCACTCGAAGTCGCCTCTCCTGGGTCTATTCAATTGTCGCGCTCATCAGTACCCTTCGTATTGCTGTTCTCCTTGATACCGAATTGAAAGTTACGATTAAATTCGCCACTTCTCACTCGGAGTTCCCAAAACATTGTAAAATTTCTTTATCCGGCACGATGCGTCGTAAGCCTGTGCCGCATCTAAAGCAACTTCACGTTGACCTTCGAGGGCCTATGCCCAAACATCAAAGCAGAACACGTCTGATCACACCCTCAGCATGTTGGTGCGCGTTCCGTCGTTATACAATCCTCATACTCTAGTCGCCGATGGCGACGCCAGTCCCGCCACCAAAGCCATGCTGCTTTCACGGCAGATAACTATCAATAAGATAATTCTTTATAGAACTTGCACCTGGCACGCTTAATACCCTTGCCCGCACGTTCTTTCTTGATTCCGGCCAACTATTGCATCTCTGGTCCCTTATCCTGGCCTATTAGAAGTGAGGGCCTCACGACACAGGATCCCATTTACACCTCCACGGACAAATAGCACAGTACTCCGGTGCCTCGCGTCTCTCGGGCTCGTTATGGCTGGGTTGTGGCCTATCTGTTTGAAAGCCCTGCTCATAAATCCATGCACGTATATGCTGCGCACGGTCACAATGGCGTCATTCTCGGCCGCGCTGCCAACAGTACTCGCGATACATACATCGTGCAGTTTTTTTTCACACACAGCAAGTTGTCAACACCCGCAATATTTAGTTTTTCTCTGTTGAGCGCCTTCAAAAGACCTCTGATGGAAGATTGTGTGCACACGTCTGCAACTTCTTGCACCCACAAGATCCCCGTGTTGTGGCACAATATACATCCGTCTACCACTACTGCCATAATCCCCTTTATCGCTGCTGATGTTCTGGTTTCCCGCACTAGTTCGCCAATCTCCATCCCTTATACTTCTCCTAATTGATCGTTACCTCATAGCCCATCTTCTGTCGTGCCTGCCCCTGGTGACCCTTGGCACTGGTACGCCAAAGGGCCTCAAGCACATACAGATACGGACTCATTACATTCGGGAGTGTGTTAAAAATAGGGTTCACACCTTTAATTACATCCGTGCTGATGTCAGTTCTGCCGACTTGCTGACGAAGAGTTTGCATCGCCCCAAACATACTAAACTTATAGACAAATTGATGTCTTCGGTCCAACTTTTCTGACGGGGGTTTCACGGTGACACCGCTTTTAAAAAAATGGCATTCCCGACCCTTGTTAGTTGTCCTCCTTATTACAAGGACCTCCTCGGGTTCTCTGTGATTGTCCTAAACATGAGACTTATTTGCACACCAAAATATACTTCAGTATTTTTGGGGTGATACAGTAATTACTATACATTCAGGACAATATACATACATATATACGTTACAACGCAAATAAAATACCTTAAACGTTAAGCGTTTAACGCCATGAGGACAAGTACCGCACTCTGCTCTGGCCTCTGGGCAGTTGGTAGTTAATGAGATGGCAATTGGTGTAGAGTAAGAATTACTTTCTCTAAGAAACCATACTCTAACATATGATTAATAGCCTGTAGTCAGGAACACATCGTATAAACAGATGTCAACACTTGCTAGTGACTTTAAAATAATACATCAACCAAATAAAACTCTAGATACTGATATTCAGATCATCACTTTATTTGGCGTTTACAGATTTTCTACAAGTTTCGATTGTACCAATTAAAGTCTTCAACATCATGCATGACTCTGAAAAAACTTTCAAATTGAAGTGAACATGCCTCAACATCACGGGCGACAACTATGACAAATGGCTTCAGCATCTCATACTTGCAGCCCACACTCACTACGTAGATGACATAGAGTCCGTTCTACACTACAAATATGTCAACCAGGAACTTTTGGCCCGGACTGCAGCCACACCAGTATCTCAAAGGAAACCAGCCACCGGCCGAGGACGACTCGAATCTCGTGAGACCTTCATCAAAACACCAATGGCGATGGGCGCCACCAGAAAGCACAACGATGCCTGCTTCGATCACTCAGCGAGGAGGGAATGGATTGCCCCACTCGAGAGCAGCTTATGGACGATCCCTGGGCACACTCTTCTGCCTCAAGAAATCTTATTCTCACATGTCCACAATAGTATCAAATACAGTCACACTTAAATTTATCCAAGAACTTCGCCGCGCTGAAGAAAAATTATACACACCTGGTCTCGACGTTGCGCCCGCATCTGCACAGATGCTAAAGCACAAGGCACACGTTTTTCAGCCGCCTTTATGCAGGGTATGTTCATCTCTGGACTCGGGGACCCCGACAAAGACATAATACGCCATTACCTTGTCAACAACCGAGACAAAGATAAACCTACACCACTCGACTTGTGCGGTCGACTCGAAGAATACATAACAGTAACTCCGTTTCATGACAACACTATTTCGAAGACAGCAGCCATTTCTGCCACTTCCACATCTGAAACACCTGTGACCGCCGAACTATTGTTCATACGTATACACCAACTGGAGCAAAACAAAGTCACATCTAACACTCGATTTTTGTCTCTTTTAAAAAGCGGAGTTGTCTATATCAAATACGTTTAAAGGACCAATCTGTGCGATATAGCTTCGTTTTAATTCAACAAGCTATCCTCACGACTTTGTGTTCCTATTAGAGCATCCGAATGCGATACATCGAACGTCTTTAAAGGACCAATCTATGTGTTAAACTTTGTGTGTATTCAACAATTACCATCGACGTCGCGTCCGCACTAGAGCTTCCGAACAGCAGAAAACTTCGGATGTAATTGCTTCTACTAAGTCATAATAGTACACGGCCGCTCTAAACTTGTCATCGTAATTCTTCGTAAGAAACATGGCACGGATTCGTCTTCCACATTAGCCGCCAGCCACTGTTGTAGTGCGCTTCCATTCTTCTCAGCATCCTGAACCAAAAATGGAAATCGAAATTGGTGTGGTATTCTTTCTCACTTCATACTTCAGTGAGTGTCATGAGATTTTGCTGTCGATCTAAGGCTCAGCGATACGGGAATGACAGATGTAATCTGGAACGATAACTGAAACAGATAATCATTCTAATAAACAGAAAGCAGCGCACTCGGTGTATCGGACATGTGCTGTATATATGAATTTGAATGAAGCAGTCTCTTATCAGAAATGATCTAAGCATGAACATCCTTTAGTTTTACTGGTGTTGGTCTTCGAATCGTAAACACTGTAAGTAAGCCAAAACGAGACATCCCGTATACTCAGTTGTTCAAAACTTCGCCCCATTTGAGTAGGCGTGCAATATATATATATTTATATATATAAAGCCATTCTCCACGACACCCCAATTCAAATATTAGAATACAATGTATACCGGTGATGGGGTTATTTGCTATTTTATATTTTATTCAGAGCACTCTGATTCCAACCTTATCCCTTTCCTAAAAACACCAATACAATTGCCGGTGCAGTACATACCGTATGTGAGCCTGAGTACCCCGGTCGTTTAATCAGAACACCTACACAGCCCACCCAAATCCCAACTGAACCTCTCATTCTAAACACATCAATGTATTTGCTAGCACAATACATACCGGTTGTGGGTTATCACTCTGACAATCGCAACAGAGTATGTGCAACGACCACCCCAACCCCCAACCGAATACCTCTCCAAACACGAGCCAATGCAGTAGTTAGTATATTACATACCGGTAGTGTACTATCCCCCCGGTAATCGTAGCAGTAGACCCACTGTTTGTCTGCGAGCGCACTGGGCTTGTGCATCAACGCGTATGATGTGAATAGGTCAAGGAATTGCTCGCTAGACAGAGCACGGCCTGATTGTGTGAAATCGGTGGACATAGTGACGTATCGCGTACCAACTACGGGTTTTGTTATAGCCGCCGAGTAGGATGCCAAGTATTCCCCTCCATCCACGCCACCATCTGGAGAGGTACAAGTGTATATATAGATATATATATAATGCATACATACATACACACACACACATATATGTATATATATGAGTGAGAGTGCGTAGGAACGTGTTAAGTATGCATATACACGTATATGTGTAAAACATTGTACAGAGATGTGTGTACTAACGTCTGCAAAGAAAAATCGATCCGTAAGAATCCGTGAATTCTTTAAATAATTAAAGTTTTAAAGCTTCAATAAGGCCTCTTTTTTTAAGGAACGTTATATCGTATAGTCGGTTGTACAAACACTTCATGCTATGTCACTGGCGAATTGAACTGGGCGTGCTTCTAGGTTAGCATGATGTACATCAACGTTTCTGTATGTGAGCGCTATCTCGATATCTGATAATGCGGATCCGGTTGACGCCGCCCCATATTATGCTACTCGTTATATTGAACGACATTGCTGCATTTATATGCTTGTATGGATATGTGCACGTGGGTATTTATGCACGCTTGCACTATGTGCGTTCTCTTGGACAATTGCACTCATAATTGTCATCTAAACAGCCCACTCTCTGTTTCAGTCTTATAACTTTTGCAGAGGTGTGTGTTTAAGTCTGCTTGTACGGACGGATGTGTACATGTAGGTATGAAACTCTGGATGTGTGCGCATTGATATGAATCTCTGGGAGTTAGGACATTTCAGTACTGAAAACAACAAAATGCTGTAGTAAAGTTTCATGTTTCCATGTATATAATCATATGACTACGATTACATATTGGCCTAGAAATGCGTATGCATGTATATGAATGTGGCAATTGTACTACAAGTGTGCCAGCAGGCATGCGCGTCAGCAACTGCTTACATATGATTCCACTGCACGGTACGTTGTATCAGGTTCGATATGTTCGCACGAGCGAGCCGCAGAAACGGAAGGCTGAATAGGGCACAATGCCTTAGTGAGAAATCATATAGCAGAAAGCATTAGATCACCATTGTTTCCACTCAGGATAGACCGATAGGCTGGTTGGGTTGTTACAGTAGCCGCCTCAGGTTGCATTGCAGGACCTGAAGAGGACTTTGAAAACCCTTCGGAATGGCTAGGTGGACTGTTAGCGTCCTGTAGTGAAACTGTGTTCGACTTCAGCCGTGTACCAACGGATCATTTGTTCGTCACTTCTAGACTACCACCATACCAATCAGCAAAGCACACTATTACCACACCTGTACTTCAATAGTCGCGACTATGAACACCTGTATAAAAATTCATGCCCAGAGACACTCTTATACATATATCTACCCAAAAAAATCTACCTAAAATTGTACATATACACCCGAAGAGGAACAGCGCACCAATCGGTACACAGGGGTTATACATACCCGGCCGGATTTCCGCTATAAACTTGACGTTTTCTCCTAAATTTTCGAGGTACAGCAATGACTCGAGGCACATTTGGTACGGGATCCAATCGAGCATAAGCAGATGCCTCCCCGTTACTTGTGATGCTGGGACATCGTCAGGCGTATTGGTGAGCAGAGCATGTAATGCATGTGCATCCACATGTCGGTACCGGTCCATAGGTCTGCAAAAGGTTCGAGAGATGGATGTACTTTTAAATTCGAAGCATGTAGTGTACTATCGATGATAGCAATTCTGTCAAAAACACACACGAACAAGCGAAGATGCGTCGAATGCTATGCAAAACGTACCATAGAATACCGAACGCACGCACTACTCTTGGTATAAACGATTTGTGGCACATATGAGCACACAGAAACCATCCCACAATCGTACCGGTCAGCTGTAGCCCGCTCAAGTGCCGTGAAGAAACTCTGAGGTTCCGATTTGTACAAACTTACAGTTTGCTGCCTAGCCGTGACATACGCACGATCTCTATTCATCATATTCTCAGCCTTGAAAGGAATTTTAGTTGTGTTAACAACCGAGCATACGATGTATTCATCTTTGCCCAGTATCGCTGCCTGTTCGTCAGACACCTTCTTCAGTATATTGGAAAGCCCCTGTCCCCGGTATGCTAGAGCAGCAAGGTGTATTAAAGGATGAGTAGCACGAAAAGCATAAAGTGAGAAAACACAGAAATACATTCATGGTAGTTGAACGAATAAAGTCAGTGCAGTCAAACTGCGTACTAGGCAATACTTCTCAAACAGAACAGGGTATTCAATCAGATACACAACCAGTCGACAAAATCCCATTCGAGGATATAT